AAGTTGAAATGTAGAATCTGTTGCGTGAAGTATTATATAGAGTCTATCTTATCAAGCGGTGGAAATACAGAACCTGTTTCATCAATTTTAGTGTATATTATAGTTTATTTCATCAAGTTGTGGTAATTTCATTGGTATCACAGAAGAATAATAAATTAAATTAAATCTTCTAGTAAATGGAATTGTAAGAGTGGTATTTCTACTTTATTTATCAAAAAAAAAAGATTTTTCAGGAGGAAAAAGCTATTAAAGAAAAATAAGATAAATAAATGAAATCAATTAAAAAAGATAGTGAATGTGAAAGTGACAGCAGTAAAGTAGTCAAGAAGATAGCAACAGTGATAGAAATAAAAAAATAAAAAATAAAAAGATCATAAATAATCAAAAATTTTAAATTTATTAGTTTTTTTTAAAATAAAATATTTTTTAATTTTATTATATTTTTTATATATGAAATGATTTATTTTCTTTTTTTAATTTAATTATTAAAACTATTAATTATTAAAATTTATTTATTAAATGATTATTTAATTAAATTTATAATAATTTAGTTTTCAAAATACTGATTGGTTTCTCTTTTATTGGATATGCTTTGCCAGTGAATCTAAGTGGTGGTTTTTTACCTGCATGGTCCAATAATTGTTTCAATTTCTATTTATTGTTTTTTGGTGGTGGTGTAAAGTTTTGATATATGAATGGTGTAAATCTTTTATGTTTTCTTAAATCTTTGCTTAAATTCTGATTAGTACGGCATGACCTCCTGTGATTATATCGTTATGGAATTTCTGAACTACTAATTGAGATAGAAAAAGTAATTGTTGATATTGATCTAGATGAAATGATGCCCTGGATTTTCTCTAATAGAAAGTAGGGCTTCGTTAATAACCAACTTTTACTTTTTCAAATTATCACTTTCACCATTTGATGATGAAAGGGGTGGGCTATCAGAAGTGCTCCATGAATTACTATTTAAGCTTGATGAGGAGCTTGGACAAATTGGAGAACTTTTATCAGATCCATTACTAGTTGAAATATCATTGGAGTGATTAGATAATTCATAACTGTTGCAATTTGGAGCATTTGAAAAAAATTCAACAGATGATTTGGCCATATCATCGTATTGTCTTTTTCCCAAAGCTAATCTAGATTGTGAATCTTTTAATTTTAATCTTAATGCCAAAATTTCTTTATTTGCAACCTTTTTTATTTCAGATAATTGCTCTGATGCATTCTCCAATCTTGACTCTGTACGTACTCTGAGGGCATTAAATTTATAAACCTGAACTTGAATTTCATTATTAAGTTTGGAGTTTGTTTCTTCAAGCTCAATGGTTTTCTAAATTAAAAGAGAATAAAAATAAAAATAGAATAAGATATTAGTAAAAATAAAGTTTTGATTTTTAATATTAAATATTAATAAACATTTGTTGATCATTAATAATTAATATTAATATTGATTTATCAATAATTATTTCTATTTAAATATTTACCTTTTTTAATTGTTCGTTTTCGTTTAATGCCTTTTTTAATTTTGCTGAGTCAGTTTCTGATAAAGGTTGATTTAGTACCTTCTTCATTTCATTTTCATAAACTGATAGCAATCTTTTTAATTTTAAAGAATTATTTTGATTTTTTTCTAATTTCGATTGAATAACCGCATTTTCTTTTGATAGGATTTCCTTTTCTTTGGAAAACTAAATATTTTTAATAAATAAATATTAATAAATTATAAAATATAGTTTATGTTAAATGAAACTTACCTTCATCATAATTTCATTCTTTTGGGTTTCCAAAAGACGATCAACATCTTCTCTATTAAACATTTGAACATTATTGTTTTGTTGATGTTGTGGACGATAGTATTTGATGATGATTGCGGTACTAAGGAAATTAAATACAGAAAAAACAAAAATATAGAAAACTATTAATAAAGTATCTAAATCAAACATTTTTTATTACTATTAAAAATAAATTGTAGTGTTTAAAATATATATACAAAAATTAAAATAAAATTTATTTAAAAAAAAAAATTTTATTGAAACAAAAAAAATATAATATTATATAACAAAGGAAAATAATTAATGACAAATAAAAAAAAAAAAAAGAAAATATAATAAAATGAAAATTATTATTAATAATAAAAAAAAAAATTAAAAAAAAAATTAAAAAAAATAAAAAACAATACTACTGTTTAATTTGAATTTTTTTATAGTAATAATAGAGTTTACCTTTATATATAAATTGAGTATTATAATATAATATTATTTAATTAAATTCTCTGATATTTGAAATACATTTTCATTTTAAAAAGAATTTAGTTTAAAAAAAAAAAAAAAAAAAAAAAAAAAAAAAAAATAATAAATAAAATTTAACATTTGAGAAAAAGAAAAAAAAAGGAAAAGAGAAATACAATAAAATAAATATTAAAATATTAAAAAAAATGCCATTATTGAATAACTATATAATATATATTTATATATTATTATTTTATATAAATGAGTGAAATTCATAAATATATATGAAATTAATTTGTGGGTTTTTTTTTTTTTTTAAAAAAAAATAAATTTAAAAAATGAAGTATTTTAAATATTTTAATTATTGAATAAAAAAATAAAAAATAATATATAAACCAATAATAAAAATAAAAAAATAATTATTCCTTCCTTTAAAAAAAACCCAATCTGAAAAAATAACTATAATAATATAATTATTGATCAATAGAAATAGCTATAATAATATAATTATTGATCAATAGAAATTAAAAAACAAATAATAAAGATTTATTTTGCACAACTACATAATACTTAACCATCAATTGGGCTCTTTTGCACTACTTTAAGTATTCGTAATATAGTGCCATTATCATTACTTTATCAGCTCCAACTGTATTCATGAAAATTTCAGCAACATAGGAAATGGAAGGATCAATATCAATAAAATGAAAATAGCATCAACAACAATAAAAAAAATGGTAGCAGTA